GAGTCCCGTGAAGAGCGTGGAAAAGCCCGATGCCTCTGTGCAGAAATTGAGAAAGGCTCCTGTCGCCAGGACCCCGTGGGGGTGAAACCCCATCAGGTAGTTCTGCCTCGGGTCCAGCTCCACTGTCTTCACCAGCTGCACACAGGGATGGAAGCAAAAAGGGGCCAAGAGTTAGAGCTGTCACCTTGTGGTGATGGAGCGTTGGCTGTGGAGAGCAGATGGGGGATCCTTGGAGGGGGATCCATAGCATAGTTTGGGTCCTGCTGCACAGCAAAGCTGTGGATGGGCTGGAGAGGGGCCAGAGAAGGGCCACAAAGATGGTCCAAGGGCTGGGCAGCGTGTGAGGAAAGGCTGAGAGAGCTGGGACTGTTCAGCTGGAGAAGAGCAGGCTCAGGGAGACCTGATCCCATGTGCCAGGAGTTAAAGGGGGGCTGCAGAGGAGATGGAGACTCCCTTTGGACAAGGAGTCCCATGGGAAAGCCGAGGGGTGATGGGCACAAGTTACTGCTGAGGAGATTCCCACTGGACACAAGAGGGAATCATTCCCAATGAGATCAACCAACCATTGGAATAATCTCCCCAGGGAAGTGGTGACTCCCCAGCATTGGACACTGTTAAGATTGGGCTGGGCAGGGTGCTGGGCACCCAGTCTGGGTCATGCTGTGCCTGGAAAGGCTGGACCAGATGATCCTTGAGGTCCTTCAACCTGGGATTCTATGATCCTATGATGGTATGATTGGATGTCTGCCCAAGGTTGCTGCAATTTTATCAGGAGGAGGGAATGGGGAATACCCTTGTCCAGTGTGTAGACATGAAGGGCATGGATTGCAGGCACAGCCCTGAAGGGCTGGCTGAGCAGCTGTATGAAATGCTTGGCCAATCTGCTGGTGGTTTGAAGCCTGGAAGATCCTACATGGGAGAACAGAGACCCCAGATGAGGAGGGGATGATTAAAGGGAGATAAGGGACAACCAGGGTTTGGACTGTGTGGGTTACATTTGCTATGGACTTCCCAGAGGAGAGGGGCTGCTGGGACAAAGCTGCCCTCCAGCGATGCCACTGAGAAGACCCTGCCTGCCAACATCAGCCAGCATATGTACAACCAAACACAAGCAGTCAAGACTGAATGCTGATGCTTTCGTACCCTTCTCGTGGGTGCCGAGGATGCCCACAGCACCAGGGAAGGATGAACCCTGCCAAGGTTCACCACCACAGAGCCACCATGAACTTCCACTCAACTCAACAGCCCCTGTGCTCAAGAAGAACCAAAGCCCTGTGCCTTTCACCATGTCACCCAGCCCAGCACCCCATTCCCATCCTCCTCCTCCGGGAGCAGCTAATGGTGCATGTGTTTTCCTGGAAGCAGCCAGAACCACAGGTTAATCATGAGGGTGCATTTTGCTTTCTTACATCATGGCTAATTTCCCTGCTCTCCTAAGGCTCTGTTGACTGTACACATGTGCCCATTCAAGCGCCTGCTCCTAATGAGAGGAATGGACAAACAAGAGTCCCACCACTGCCCACTGCAGAGGGACCTAAGCAGGAAGAGGGGCAGATGGCTGAGTTACTAAGTGCCTGGGGCCCCTGCCACCTTTAGCTCCTTTTCGAGTCCTTTTAGTGTACATCAATGTTTCCTGCATCCATCTTCTGCTTCCAAACAGCCTTTCATCTCTGTGTGATTTATAGGCAGGGAGTGAGGTGCTCGGGTGTGTTGGAAACCACTAAATGACCGGCTCTATGTGTGCAGCGTGGTAAGAAGAAGGGGTGACAGCAAGTTCAGAGCCTGGTTGTAACCCAAGGTCCCAGCACCCTCCTTGATAACGAAGAGTTGAACTCAGGGTACCCACTGAGCTGTGCAAACTGCTTCAATGGGAGCTCATCTGTGATAAGACACCTTAAAAACCCTCCCTAGGAGACATCCCAATGTGCTCTGCTTGATGGTTCTGCAAGAGTCCTCCCCTCCAGTAGTGCTGATTGCACCTCAGTGACCAAGGTGAATTATTTGCCTCTATTAGCTTTGTAGACTGGGCTCCTTCCAGACATAGGGAAAGGAGGAGAGAGAAGGTCCCCATTTTGTCATAGTGTCTGCTCACATTTGGATGACATGGCCAGAACTTAGAGAGGAACCAAAGAGCTCGTACAAGGCCGAGAAGGGAATCTGACCTATTTGAAGCTGTCCCTGCTCGTTGCAGGGGTTTGGACTAGATGAGCTTTGAAGGTTCCCTTCAACCCAAACTGTTCTATGAGTCTATGATCTGTGGCAGAGGAGACTTGGGCAGAGTCTCTTCTGCTTTAGGTCAGGCCCCTGGACTCTAAACCTGGAAAATCTCCACTCTGGAAACTGTTTAACACAGAAACTTAATCCTCCCACCTATATTGTCCCAGTGTTTGTTCACTTCTTCCCTCTCCTCCTGCCAGAGGCCAACCTCTGTTCCCAAGCTGCCAGGACAGTTAATACCTGACACCACAGAGCCTGGCTCTCCTGCTCTGAGGAGCTCAGTGGGCTCGGGTTGAGGTGAACAGGGGTGGGAATCTCCTCCCCCCTGCCTTGGTTGAGTTGGCATCTCCTCACCCACCGGATGGCATTTGCTGCTCTAGGCTTTCTGGATTAGTTGAACTTTTAATCATTGACAAAGGACTCAAGGGTCCAGCCAAGCTGTGAGTAAACAAGTGGTTGAACTCAAGTTTCCTTGGAGAGACAAGGCCAGTTTCTCATCTCAGAGACGTCTGAGGGATGCCACATTAATGTGCAGCTCTGCTCTGGAGCCAGGCTGAGAGAGCTGGGCTGGGGCAGCTGGAGAAGAGAAGGCTCCTCAAGGGGACACCTTAGAGCAGCTCCAGGGCCTAAAGGGGCTCCAGGAGACCTGGAGAGGGGCTTTGGACAAGGGATGTAGGGACAGGACAAGGGGAATGGCTTGAACCTGCCAGAGGGGAGACTGAGATGAGCTCTGGGGCAGAAGCTCTTCCCTGTGAGGGTGCTGAGGCGCTGGCACAGGGTGCCCAGAGAAGCTGTGGCTGCCCCATCCCTGGCAGTGTTCAAGGCCAGGTTGGACACAGGGGCTTGGAGCAACCTGCTCTAGTGCAAGGTGTCCCTGCCCGGGGCACTTTGGATGTGACTTCACCACTTTCATTCCCAGATCTGGGTAAAAATGGCAGCTCCAAAAAGCCCAAGTCCTCCCTTGCTCTTGTGTGATGCTGCTTTTGGTGATCTTGTAGGATCCCCTTTATCCTTATCCTTATGGTAGGACACAGTCGTCTGGTGGACTTGACCTCAGCCATGGTGTCTCTTTACTTAAGGTCAGAGAAGAAAGGGTCAAGAGAGGGACAGAGGAGTTCCTCAGGAAAGGACAGAGAAGTGGCTTTGGGCCATTTGGCCATGTCTTGCTTTTGCCCCGATGACCCCTCATCTCCTCCAGCCAACAGAAGGAAGCACAGCTCAGCAGTGCTATTTAACATCATGGGCCATGACACAAAATCCCCAGTCACAAATAAGACCATTCTTCTATGAAAAGAAGGAAAACATTCCTGGTAGGGCCGGGTTCACAGGAGCTGGAGCTTTTCCCTCTCTGCAATGCCTCGTGGTCTCCAGAGCCACAATATACCCTCAAATAACCCCCGTCATGGTTTATGCAGTTATGAGAATGAATGGGTTATGGGATGGAGCCATCCTAAATCACAGCTCCTAGGGTTCAGCTAGTTCTCCAATAACTCATTTTGGTTATGCTAACAAAGAAACCCAATGCAGCCTGTCCCCAAGCACAATGACAGAGGTTGGGACTCTGCCTGTTGCTATAGATATTAAGGTCCAACTGACACTTAGATAACCCCAAAACTAGTGGAAAATGTCCTGTGGCTCTTCAGAGGGGGAAAACAGTGCAGTGAAGGCCACGGGGACTTTCTCCACACAGCAGGCACCTTTCCAGCTGCACTGAATAAAGCTGGTAAGATGGATCCTACTGGGGTTGCTCTGAATGATGACAGCACCCAAAGACAGAATTTGTCCCTTGGAGACCTTAATTTTAGCTTCTTCCTACTAGATTTAACTCGTAACCCAGGTTGTGTAATCTAAAGGTGAAATGTCTTGTCTAAGACAAGCATCCAACCCCAACTTATAGTCAGCAAGAAGGACAATAGAATCACAGACTCACAGAATGGCTTGGGTTGGAAAGGAGTGCCAAGACCATCTAGTTCCAAGGCCCTGCCATGGGCAGGGATGCCTCACACTAGACCATGCTGCCCAAGACTCGGTCCTTCTCTTCTCAAGGCCTTGAACCCTGCCAGGGATGGGGCAGCCAACGCA